TATTTGAGAAACACTGGTCTAGATGGTCTAGGAGCTGAAAACATAAGATTAATATTCTGCAGACCTCGTAGCCTAAATTCTGACTGGGCAGAGCACAGAATAGCATCATGTCATGAAGCATTAAGGTCTAAGGACCTGAAGAATGTTTAGACTTCTTGGTGGACAGAAGAAGCTTAGCAACCATAAACTGGGAGTATGTCCCAAGCACATTGGCCATGTAAAAAAAGATATGAAAACTGGATAATTTTTCTACAGAAGACAGCCCCTTTTCTCTTCTCTTCTCTTTCCCTCTGCTGCCTCCACCAATGAGGGATTTACAACCAGTACCAAATTCTTTCACATGCCATCTTCAATATTCCCTCTAATATTTTCCATCCATGTGTGGAATACATTTTGTTATGTGCACTGAGGCATATGTGAATATGCACCACCAATAGAAACATTAACCTAGCTGTGGGTGCTCTACTTATCAGCAGAGCAGCATTTGAATTTCTCCTAAGTTGTTCATACAAGTACACAGCTTACAGGGAACATTAGCCATTTTTTCCTTTGTCCATTGAGTTATCTGGATCACTGCTGTGATATTAGCTGCCTACAGCAGTGTCAGAGCTTTGTGACAGGATTCCACTGGAGGCCTAAGCAGCTTCCTAACTATGAGGCTACGTCTACATTATTTTGAGATAACTAGCATTATTTCGAAATAGCAATGTGAGCGTCTACCCAGCCATTCCATTATTTCGAAAAAATTTCAGAATAATGGTTGGCTTATTCAGAAATCTGTAAGCCTCATTTTACGAGGAATAATGCCTATTTCGAAATAGCGGCAGTGGTGCATCTACATGTCTTATTTAAAATTTGAATAGCTATTTCAAAATAAGGCGTGTGTAGCTGTTCCACTGCTGTGATTTCGAAATACCCCCTTGCCAAGGCCATTCTAAATTCCTTCCCAGTACCTTTTTGGGCTCGAAATCGAGATAGAATGTCTACATTAGGGAAGCCTGTTTCGGATTAATTTTGAGGCTTTCCTGAAGTATAGATGTGTTATTTCAAAATAAGCTATTTTGGAATAACTATTCCGGAATAGCTTATTTCGAAATAGCCGTGCAGTGTAGACGTACCCTAGGTAAAGTTCCAGGGCCTCACTGTCAGCAGCAGGAGACATTTCCCAAAAATCAGCAGGATATGCAGGCAGAAGTTTCATGAGGATGGAAAAGCACATAGAAGGTAGAACACGACTCGCCTTTTACAATGGTGTGGATCAGAAGTAACTCCAATGAAACCAATAGAGTTACACTGGTGTAAGTGAGAATAAACCACACTCTGGCTACATCTACACTGTTTTTTGCGGAGAAGGAAATGTAAGTGAAACACTCATTTGCAAATCTCACACTATCATTTGCATATTCTCTTCCAATCCTTTTTGCGGAAGAGGTTTTTGAGAAAAAAACCGCAGTGTAGACAGGGCCATTTTTTGGAAAAAGAACCCCTTTTGCGCAAGATCCTGTAAACCTCATTTTACTGTAAGCTCTTGTTTTTTTATTTTATTTTTTGTTTGTTTATTTTTACTATAGTTTATTGAAAAAATTCAGTCTAGAATGAAACTTTTCAATCTTGTTTTTGGACCAAAAGTGATTCTGCATGTTGTGTGGAAAGCAGGGTAAAACTCAGTTAGATTGTTACCAAATAAGCTGAATATTTTGGTTCTGATATAACAAAGCTGTAAGTCTTAAAAAAATATGTGTACCGTGAATGCACAGTATGGCTTTCTAATAATGGCCAAATCTTCCCCTCTGTCTTTAATGGAAATTGCAGGTGCTCGTATGAGAGCAGAATTTGGCCCTACATTTTTAACATATGTAGTGCCCCACTGAAAATCACATTCAGCTGGGAGAAAGATCTAGAGGATGGGAATAAATCCAATCTCTCATGTCTTTGCTGTATTCTAGCCTGTAACTCCTGCATGACAGGCTTAGACTATCTTCGTCATCTACAACTGCTGGGAGATAGAATCCTAGGCAGGAACCCCTACTGATATATGCCCCACTGACAACCTAAATAGCGGTCAGTTCTGACAGTGACTGTTATTTCAAAACCTTCCAGAATTCTGATGACCAGTTCTTCATCTAGAAAGAAGGCAATCTTCCTAGATTTGAGGAAGAAAAGGGAGTAGGGCAAAGGAGATTTTCAGGGTTTGGTGGTCTTCTGCCAAGCAATGTAGATGGGCTACATTCTGTTGGAATACTGAAGAAAAAATTATCATAGTACTTCTGTACTGTGTTTCTACCGGAAAATACTTAATGATTCCACCATGCAGTCCTTACTCAGGTAAAACTCCTACAGAATTCAATGGTTATTTTGCCTCATTAAAGATGGCAGTGATGGAAAAGAGTAAATAGAATAAGAGGAAAATAGCTTGTTTTCTGTACTGAGGCTAATGGTACAAAGAGGCAAAATAGGGAAAGTAGAGCTTGAGGTTTTTGATTTACCTATGTCACACATTTTGAAGGACCAGCATAGTAAGAAACATTAGGACTAGGGAATATAGTAGGGATGTAGGAGTGTAACCATTTAACAGGTAATCATAAGCATAAGCTTATTGGTTACCCAAACAGTTACATGTGGCTCCTGGGGAGCTGGTTGCCACCCCACATTGAGAGACAGCAGAATGAGGCAGCAGTCAGCTCCCTGGAAGTGTGGTGCCAGATGGGCTGCCTGCTGCCCCTGTATCAGGGGCAGCAGCATGGGATGGCAGACAAGAGCCAGTATTTATGGGGAACCACCTTAAAATCCAGCTCCCAGTGCACACTAGCTCCCAGGCAGCCAGCTGCCCGCCCTGCTTTGCTGTACCTATATTTGGGGCAGTGGCCGGTTCCCCGGGAGAGGACTTTTAAGCTGGCTCCTGCCATGCACTGGCCCCTGAGGAGTTAGCTGTTGCCCCACACTGCTACTTCTGATACAGAGGCAGTATAGTGCACTGGCTCCCAGGGAGCTGGATGCTGCTCTGCATATAACTGTGTAACTGCTGACATTTTCAGCTGTTACATGGTTAGCCAATTACACACATTTTAACATCCCTAGAATACATAGAATACTCTTACTAAAGAGTGACAACTTAAAAAGTGATCTGAGAAATTGTTATGTGAGAATTCATTATGGAATGTATCAGATACAGGCATAAAAATAGACAGTGAGGTTTGTGGAAGAAGCAACTTGGCATCTTCCAGTACCTCAGACATCCTGTGTCTTTTCATACTTCTTAGCCTGTTCCAGGATAAGTATTTTGGGACCATTAATCGTCACTAATGTGAAAATGAGTATTTATGACAAGGGTCAAAATGAGGCTTCAGGACCCTGCAAATTACTTCATTAGAGGCAATGGATGTTCTCCAAACTCTGTGGATGAATTTGGCACTGTCTGAATGTCTCTTTTGGGTGGGGTATCTTGAGTGTTGAGAATAGTGTGTGTGTGTGTGTGTTTGAAGGAGGGGATTGAATTATGTTTTTGTTACAACATATATCGTTAGTATTAGAACTAAGCAGAAGATGAAAATTTCATTTTGCAAAGACTTTTGAATTTTGAATAGGGCCTGAAAATTTCAGAATTCCCCATGAAAGCAAATCTTAGAAAAAAGTTGTTTAGATCAGAAAGTTTAATTTTGACAAAAATGGTTTTGTTTGGATTTTGGCTTTTTACATTTTAAATATTATACAAAATTAAAGTGTTTCATTCCAACTATGTTCAAATGGGACACTGTTGGAATTTCCCCCTATTTTTTCTCTTGAATGAAAGCTCTTCTGGTCCCAGCCCCAAGCTTCCACAGTCAGGGGAAATGGGCCTCTCCTTACTGTCCCCAGCAGGGAGCCATCCAGGTAAGTCCCACCTTAAGTCCTCCCCAGCCCTGAGCACCCACCTGCACCCCAAAGCCCTCATCTCTGGCCTCACCCCAAAGCCCACAAGCTCTGGCCTTTTCCCCCTTCTGCACCCCAACCCAGAGTCTGTACCCCCTTCAGCATCCCAACCCCCCATGCCTGATTCCCTTCCCAAACCCGGAGTTCCCTCCTGCATGCCAAACCCCTCATCCCCAGTCCAACCCCAGAACCTGCACCCTAGCCCTCTGTCCCAGCCTCAAGTCTCTCAACACCAGCTCTCACCCCAAACCAGAGGCCTCACACTTCTGTAAACCAACGTTCTGCCCCAGCTTGAGCTCCCTCCCATACTTACAACCCATTGGCCCCTAACATACATTCCTAACATACATTTTTATGTGCACCAATATGGAGGTGATATGTCACACAGTACCTTCACAATAGTGCACATAAGAAAATTCATTCCCCTCAGATGTGGGAAAAAATTAGAAGTTCTGATTATGACCTATGTATATTTTCACTGTTACACATTTCTTGTAGATTACATTTATTTTGATCTTTGTGCCTCTACATAGCCTTTGCAGTTATTTTAATGCAATGGTACAATTGAGATTTCAGAAACTCAAGTCTGAGGTTCTTTGAATATAGTCTGTGTGTATGTAATGCACAGCACTGAAGATACTAAATTATATTTGCTATAGAACCATAGGTACTGGAACTAGAAATGTAGAGCACCCCCTGGCTTGAAGTGGTTTCCATCATAACTAGGTATTATAGTTTGGTGCAATGGCTCTCAGCACTATAAAAATTGTTCCGGCACCTTGTGGAACTTATAACATCAGCTGTTTTCGGCCGCTTTGTATTTAAAAGCTCAGACCATTAACTCTTGCACTGACCTAGTCACGCTACACCCCCAGTTAGGCTCTTGCCTAGCAGCAGCCTTTAGAACCAAACATCAGACGTTCGTTACTTCATGTCCATGGGCTCGAAATCCCAGAACGGTGGAGCCACTGGGAAGAAGAGGCGACCGACGGATGCCTGCCCCGGGTAGGGAGTGCAGGGAGGGCCACCCAGAGGCGCAGGAAAGGCACGTGGGGCACCCCATTTAGCAATTAACATTTGGTGGGCGAGGGGGCGGGGCACCTCCAAAGTGCTACCACAGTCACCTCTGCTGGCAAGGGCCCCTTACAGCCTAGCGTCGTGGGCTCTTCCTCTGGGCGAAGATCCCCGCAAATCCTGGCGGATCCCGTCTTCACGGCGTGGAGGCGGGGCGCCTAAGCCCGCCTACCTCAAGGCCCATCCCCACAGGGCACCGTGAGCGCGGAGGCCACTAGCTGCACCTCAGGCCAGCAGCCCGCGGGAGGGATTCCCGGCGCTAACGGGCAGCAGCTTCCCTCGCAGGGGGCGGAGCTCGGCCCCTTTAAGGCCGAGGCTGCCGTAACCCGATCCCGCAGTGAGTGGCTTGTCGCAGCCGCCGCAGCAGCCCACTGCCCCGAGCATCCGTGCGCGCCAAGAGTCTCCCCGCAGCGCCGGCAGGGATGGGGGAGGCGCTGCGGCCACGCTAGTCCCGCCCGGCCTCTCACCCCAGGTACGGGCTCGAGTGGGCAGTGCCCACAGCCCCCCCTCAGCCGGGGGCAGGGCAGCGGAATGGGGAGCCGGCGGGACGCCCCGCTCCGAGCCGGGCTGAGCATTTCATCTCCCGGCGCCGTCGTGTGAGGGGCAGGCGGCGGGCAGGTGCCCATTCATCCCCGCCCCCCCTTGCCGGGAGCGAGGGCCGGGGCGTGTAGCAAGGGCCTGGTGGGAGCGGGGCGGGACAGGGAGGGGTTGCGGTTCTGCACCAGTCCCAGCAGGGATATTGTTAATGGGAACCGGGCGGAGGGAGGGGGGGGGGCGCTGTGCATTCCCGGGAGGGAGAGGGTCAGTGGGAATGGTGTGTGTGTGGGGGGAGGGGCGGGGGGCGGGCAGGCTGTGCAGCCCCGGGAGGGGAGGAGGGTAAATGGGAGGGGAGGAGGTTAAATGGAAGCTGGAGTTGGGAAGGCCACTGGTACTGCGGCGCCAGGATTTGCCCACTAGACCAGAAGGGTTGCTGTCAAATTGCATCAAATCCTGTCACTGCCATATGCTACCGTTCTAATGCTGTGAAACTGGTCCAGCCTTTCTGAAATGCTGCACTGAAGAAACTAATGTTTTTAAAGGGACATGTCTGTGTTTAAAATATTGT